TATCTTACGTGAAAATTAATTTTATTTAACTATCTTAAATAACATCCTTAATTCACTTAAGACTAGGCTAACCAGTTACATCTATATCTAAATTTGAATCAATAATGATGTTTGCGTGATGCAAATGATTCGTTCGATTTCTATGGAATATTTAATGCGAAAAAAAGAATAGTTAATTGTCTCTTTTCATAATACTAAGAACTGGTCATTTATTGTATAGTTCGTCTAGTTTAAAAACACCACATGATGAACATAATCCCAAACTCATCATTTTTAACATTAAAGATAAAGTAAGTGATTTATTCACTCTTCTGGTAGTAGATATTCTATATGATTCCTGAATTTCCTATAATGCTGATCCTGACGACCGTTACTAGATAACACCTAACGGTGTATGAAATCCAGAAGACGAATACGAATCAATCACAAAACCGCAAGCATACGAAGTGAAAAGATATGCGAAATGTATGTGGGTTGCTACAATCTTTATGATTATAGTTTAATAAGAAATAACAATTTTATGATAATAACTTTTATTAGTTTCTGCTGCCTTGTGTTATGTGATTTGGTGACAGATGTAGTCTAGTTTATCATGTTTTCTCTGCTAAACAACATGTTACCCGATAGATTATGCTCAAGTAATCAGGAAATTACTAATAAGATTGTTGCATATACTGTGTTAGAAAAAATTCAGTTATTTCATCAGCTGTAATAAGTATGAAAGACTTCTAGATATAAAAACACGCTTTAAATCAAAGATTTTGTTATCCACTTTGCTAAAAATCACTTAAAGCGAATCAACTTTTCATTGACGTTATGATCAATGAATATTGATAAAATTCGATGCTTTTGTGTATGGTTATTTCAAATCACATAGTCCGTTTTTAAAATTTTTGATAGAAAAATGCGAAGACGTAGTTGATCTCAAAAATGTGATGTATTTGCGCTATACATTTCCAACAATCTGGTCACATATGCACTTGTCAAGGCATTTTGATATGAGAATTAATCATAGGTCAATTCAATAAAAGTTCAAATAAACATAAGGTAATTATTGTAAACAAAGGAGAGAGAAAATTAACATAATAGAGAAAGAATAGGGAATCGTCACATTACCCTAGGCCATAAAATGACTTTAAGATTATCAGGGTAAATTCAAGGTTATGCCAAACTGTTTCTGTACATACAAGGGGTATTTTAATTTACGTCTAGCCAAGGCTTCTATAAACCTCAGGATTCATCCTTTGACGTTTCTATACAATATTTTAAAGGCTGTCTTGATGTCAATCTTATGCCCCGTTTCAGTTATTTGTTTTGTAATCGATGAACATGGTTTTCTATTTCTCACGTTTATCAGATCATCTGACGTTAACTGATTTTAAAGCTACTTAGGTACATATTCCGTAACCCTTGATTGAAAAGTCCGATTTCTTCACCATGATTTAAGGAATTCAATATCAGCTAATAAGATATAGATTTTTAAATGGCAACTGGTTTGCTCTTTTGCATTGAAAACATCAATAGAAATTGTGGAATTTAGAAACTTAGCTGTCAAACAAATATCAGCGCTGACATTAAGGAAGTAACAAGTTATAGGAGTTAGTTTAACGCTTGAATTTGGATGAGAAAAGAAAATAAATCTATTTCCCAATGTGTATTCTCATAAAATATCCAATAAGGCCATCTATATTACGCAGCTATTTCTCTTCAAAAGTTTAAATAAATAACGTATGGCAGTGGTTACAGTTTTTGCGGCTCACGAGTGGACTCCAGTGTGGACGAATGATCGAGTATGTATGTATGAAGTAAATCTTCTTATCCATTTCCGTATATTATTCATAGGCAGACCCCGTTTGTGCAACGGTGTTAATAAAAAGGCCAAATACGGTTTCACCGGTGAATTTATTTCATGCAATCATTTATGCAGACAAACATGAGAATGGAAAGCGTACAAGTGAAACGAAGCGGATTGGAGAAGAAGAGTGAGCCAGCCAACTCTCATGGGCTGAAGCAATGACTTAGTATTTATAGTCGGGCAATAATAAGCTAGACATATGATAGACGAATAAGCATGCACACACAATCAAATATACAATAATCGGTACTATAATCGTATGGATACTAATATAAAAAGTGGTCGATACATTTATTGAATAACTCAAACGAGAAATTGTTGAAGTACAATGAACGAATGGTGATATGATACAACAGAATACAATGAATTATTACCATTCAATAGTAAAACATCTATTCTTAATACACAGCAGCATAGAATTGAATATGTCGCACGATTGTGAATTAATATAGTCTAATCATTAAACTTTTATTTTCAGGGCTACAAGTGAAATAAATGGATGTTTAAAGAACTAAATTAATTAGATAATTATGTTTAGATTTTATAGAAAAGATTTAAGCTTACGTAACTTAATATGTCTAGCTCATCATTTCCGATGACGCCTATTCCATATTGAGTTTTTTCAATACTTTGAATGAACAATACATTTCTAAGGGTTATGTAGGTTTTGCGCAAATGCTATAGCTGGTTACGATAATATCATTTTCAAACTCAATTTTTATAATTACATTAATGATTATCTAGTTCCCATTAGTAACCATGCCCAGTGTTGCGAAGCCATTTTCGCCTATTATCACTTTTTTGCGAGCTCAACGAGATGAACATTTGTTTTGTTATTTTCTTCTTCAAATTGTACAAATGTACATACAATTTGTTCAATGCAATAACTTCAAGGAAACATTATCAATGAACTATACTTTCACACCATATGCTTCCGTGTGTACCTTTCATCGAAGTATTGATTAGTTTATCTTCGAGTTGATTTATAAGCTTAATATGTATATACTATATACATATATATAGATATATATATGTATATATGTATATGTATATATATAAATCGTTTATGACAAATGTGTTGGTTTCTTTATGTTTTTTTTCTCTCTCCCCAGGAATATTGCTTATTAAAAGTTCTTAGTGATTTCTCTTTTATAATATCCCAATTTATACGTATTGTATGCCCTGAAGGCTAAAACTAATGATGAGTTTATATTATTTATTCACAACATAGACAGGCAAACAAACAAATTTCACCATTTATATATATATAATTTAGTCTGAAACAATAAAATTCGCTTTCAAAATGACCAATGTTTGGCATAAAACAAACATGTTACCTTAACAGAAAGTAAAAGAAAAGACACAAATATTATTTTTGAGTAAATGTGATAAGAGAACCTAATATTTACTCAGTATTCACTGTTGAACTCTCCTACGTTGACCGCATGCTAGGTGAAAATGAAAAGATGTTCAATAGAGATGCTCAATTCATTTTGTTTTTATGTGAAATCTAGAGAAAAAAAAACCCATTTTATATAATTATTGGAAGAGTCCTTCTAATCTGAAATTACTATTTGAAAGTTAAATCACGAAGAAAAATAAAGTAACTAATTGCTATTTATAGCATAATTCAAACAAATATTTTGCGGTTAACGTTTATGTAATTAAATAATTGCACTCTACAAGTTAATTACCGAATTAATTGCATTCTGAATTTTAGTGTAATGTTTTATTTTTATTTAATTTATTAATTTAGTAGTAGTAAAATTGTATGAATATAATCATTTAATGTTCAGTCTGATAGTTCTGTCAGTGAAAAGAGATTCTGGTTAGTTTTTTATAACAGTAATTGTCTGTTAAATAAAGAGTTGCTAAGTCAGACAATTAAATTCATCATTTACTGATTAAAATCAGAGAACCATTGTAAAAGGTTTCATTCTAGTTAAAATACTCTATGCTAGGTAATGCTTATAACTACTCATGGAGTCGAATCCACGATTTGCATAACTAATTATTGATAATGTGATACTTTTAAACCACAAATGTATAATCAGAAAATTTCAAATTCTATTCAATTCAGAGTTCCGTAAATTCCTCGTTGAAGCCAATCGATCAGTGATTGTTTTATTTTTTGCTAATATTTGATTAGACTGACTATGGGATTTATTGAAATGTTGAGATGTTTATCTCAATTTCTGAATGTTTTTGTAGATAATTATATTTAAACCATTAGTTACATTAGTTTTCATTACTATCTTGAAGAGAACAAAAATGTGAAAATTTAAGCAGAATAATATGGATTCAAATTATTTCACAACTTGTAATATTTTAAAGTCGGATTGCAATTAATTTCACCAAACAGTTTAGTTGCAAACTGTTTTGAATACATTACAGTAGAGTGTGGCAAAAATGTAAATAAATTTGAGAGATTCAATAAAATATTCATTATAGTATTATGGAAATTATTGTTTCTCATTGAAACCACGAATCAATAATTGTTAGACTACCATTAAAAACCTGGAAACATTGATACGGCCTTTTCATCCTGATATGAAACTCTTCAGCAGTGTACATCCACGACACGCGCTCGTGGAAATCGAGTTGATGACAGTCGGTCTCGCCCGCGAGAGCTTAACTTCTTGACCATTGATGCTGGCATCAGTCCCATACTAGGACGAGTAGGCCATCCAGTGATTCCATGTTTTTAATGGTGGTTTAACAATGATTCACTCGTGATTTCACTAAAAATGAATAAATATAATATCAAAAACACCTATCGTATTTCATCCGAAGAATATCGTTTATTTTTCTAAGCAGATTTTATCATTCATTCATTCTTAGTGATGCTGTGGTTGATGAAAAGCAGCGTCAAAATCCATTTTCAAAATACATGTTTGTACTGCTATTTAAAATTAATTCAGTAGCATCTATATGTAATCAGAATAAAAACTATTTTTTGCCATAATCAAAAGGAACGTTATTGTCCATAAAATTTATCAAACCTATTATTTACTGCATGATACCTCTACAATATTATATAATATAAGTGTAACAAACAGCATTCTTAAGTTTCTATGACTAATTCGATTGTTCCTTTCATTTGTCAAGTTGTATAACATTAACTAAAGTTAAAAAATATACTTACTTCATATTTTGTGACACTGCGATCACGATATATTAAACTTTGTGGAAGCGGCATCTACAAAATAAAAATTAGGATTCCATTAGAAACAGAATTGTTTTTATGAAATAAGAGTTATCACATTATTCTGTAAATCCACTTATTTACAAGTGGTTCAATGCTAAATGACATGATGTGCTATGCAATAAAAAAAAGTTTTAAATGTTTGGTGAATAATTCATGTTTGGCTTGTCAAACTATATAGACCATCTCAGTTTTGTCTGTATCGTACGTAGTCTTATTTTGTACATTTATGTGTTGCGCCTACTAATTTTACGCATATTTTATTTGAACAGTATAGTGTGTGGTTTTTTTTTCATCTTACAAACTTTGTTAGTAATCAGCATTTATCAAACCTTCATAGTCGATTTCTGATTTTTATGAAAGGCGGCTAAATAATATGAGTTAGGTTGAGTATTGTTAATCAATTAGAGAATGGAGTAATGTGAGTTAGACCTATCACAAGAGAAATATCCGAAATGAAACTAGGTGTTTCTACCAGTTATTTTAATCACCGAAACGTTATTTGAACTCGGATTAGTTTTTATGATTATCTGGCTACTTTCAGCTGAAATAGTATAAAACTATATTGTTAAATGAGGTTTCTGTACATTCAGAAAGCAATAAGGAATTAGTTTCAGTTCGCAATTACTCTTGAAATGTTTTTGGAGATCAAGCGAAATTAAAGACTAAAACAACATAAAATATCAATTTCACTTAAATACCAGACTCAACTCATAGCTGCAAAAGAATGCTGAAATGAATTTTCATGCCTGAACAAAATTCTATAGATTTATTACGAGTTTTCATTGCTGATCCAGCTGAAATTAACGAACGAATAGAATTTCAGCGTTAAATGTTCTATAAATCTCAACGAAACATGATTTTCTAAGACGCGGTTGGTTTAGCATATGCGCTATAATTCAGACATTTCACTTTTGACTTCGACCAACACTGTCTTTGTTAGTAAGATTCGTTGAAAACACTGGAAACGTAGATGCTGTTTACAGAAGTAGTTTTGATTCGGTTTTTTACTAGGTAGTTTATGATATTGTACATAAAATGATGCATTCAAACGTAATTTGGAAATAATGACTCAATAGAAAACGTAACGATGGTGCTCGGAATCTAAAACTATCAGTTTTATCAATAGTATGACTGCTCAGAATATTATTCACTAAGTAACAGTTTAGTGAGTTTACAGTTATTTTATTGTAAATTCTGAGTCTAAACATTTGAATAAATATAATTTATCCGAAAATGGTATTTGTTCTCAAATGACCTTCGTTTGTGTACCATTGAAAATTAGTAAGTACGAACAACTGTTTTTTCATCAAATGATAATCCTCAGAAGTGCGTGTATATGACCGAGTCAAAAGTTTTATGCAGAATAGAATAACATATTAAGACTGTTGCATTATGAGATTAGACATTTTGGCATTGTCATTTGATCGACTGTGATTATAGACGTTTATATATTTGCAAACCAAAACATTGGTGGATTATCTAAAAACAAATTTCGTTTCATTCATTTATGATGCATTCAACCCGTTAAACAAGACTATAGTGTTTGAGAATAATTACTTTTTCTAATACATCTTCTGTAATCTCTATCACCAACGAGTGTCAAGAGAAGAATTGTTTATAAATCAGATTGCACTAGAGAGAACATTCGAGTCCTTTTGAAATGAAACATTTCATTCCATCTTACCTTGTTTTCGAGAGAACTAAGCATTATTATGTAAAAGTGACTTTACGATTCTTTGTATTTTGCTCAAACAAACTGTCTGGTTTGTTGACTTAACAAAACGTTTATTTTGAAGAATAGTAAAATAAATTTTATCGAAATAGATTACTTTTCTTGTTGTGAAACTTCAGTCACATTTAAAACGATTTTGGTAATTAGTCCACCGGTTTTTATCAATATTTATTTATTATCTAATAGTAATTACTCGCTGATTAATGTACAAACATTCTTGAAAAAGTAAAGTTTTGAGCATAGATTCTGTATTATTCAATAGTTAATGCTTAATAAACTTGAGAAGACACCTTAGTTACTTCATTCATGAAAGTGGAATTTACTGATTTAATCTCACCATATGACATTGTAAAATATGTGTTTTGCCTAACAAATGTAATCTAACTCATGTTTTTTTAGCCTACTTAGACTGTCAGTTTTTTATTTCTGGATGTTATTCAATCCAATACAAAAAAGAACAAGTTTAGCGCTTTTTTTCAGCATTTTCAGCATTAATTAAATATCGGTTTGACAAAAAATAAAGCCAACTACAATGAAAAGTTATAGCATTTCTATTCAACTAACCTTAAAATTTGGAAAAAATAAATAGATAACATACAAAAATGGTAGTATTGAGAGAAAAATTATCACAAATTGTAATCGTTGTAAACCTTCGAAATCTCGGATGCAAAACATTAAACTATAAAATAAATTTTCCATTTGATGTTGACAATTTGGATGAGCAACAAACTGTAAGAGAAGAAAAAAAATTAAAACAAAAATTAAACGAGTTTACACAAAACAACCATGAAGTCTTTGAAACTATTCAGTTGACATAAAAGAGTCAGGACATTGTGGTGATTGGTAGATAAGTTGGACTGATTAATAATGAGTTTTTAAAGTTTTATCATAAAGCTACAAGTAATAATCATGAAACAAATGGGAGTGATTTAGCCTTGATTTTGACTTTGAGTTGTTCACGACATATTTAGATATCCTACAATCTTTTGTGGTAAGATATACTGATGTACTAAGTCCGTAATAACATGTTAGTGAAATTACATTTAATACACTTATGTATTTATTAATGAAGTGTGTTGTAATTTGATTTACAACGATAAAATTTAGTGGTGGCATATGTGTTTGCATATGTGAAATTCCCGAAATAAATTCACTAAATTACGATTCAGCACTCGTCCATTTGAGTTTGATGTCTAAATGTCTTGTCTACAGTACATTTAAAAAGAACCCTATAGCACCTGACATATATATGAGTTTGTTTACGTATAACTTGATTAAACTCTTTTATTAACCTCATATAAAGTCATTCTAACAGCAATAACATATCCTGTACCTTTGTAACTTAATTATTGTTGTATTTGTGTGAGCATATGTGCTTGAACATTTGTTACAGATTACCCGCATCTTCATTCTACTAAGTTTAATGTTAGTCGCTAAAATAATTCGGTTACTTATTCATTTTCCTACATATATGTACATTTCAATCCGGTGTATTCGCTCCTCGGCATTTGCATGCCATTTCCCGTTCACTTTGTATTCCTGTGGTTCAGTGATTTTTGTAATGCGATTATAAGTGTCACCAACGCTTTATATTCGTCTTCTGAAATGTATAGACCGTGGGGCGGTATCTGGAATCGGTTATCAGGATGAGCAGTATAGGAAGTTTACAAATTCAATCAAATTTGCAAGCCAGTCAAGTTGCAAGTGAGATTAAATACCAGCCAACTAAAATGAATTAGAAAGTATGTTCCCAACACAGACTAACAGTCAGTTAAATATACTTTGGAGAGCCGGAAGCTCTGAAAGTCTATCTATTTTTCGTCTACGTCCTATATTTTTAATATTTCATCGGGCTTATAAACTCCATTCGCTTAGTGAATAGTAATGTCATCATTGTGAGTTAAAAGTATACTCTGACTTGAAAAATAAGTATTCTGCTGATATTTTGTTATATTAACTGAATATCACAAGAATCCTAATCAATGAAGCCAATTATTTTGTATGTTAATTTATTCTGGAAGTTAGTTGGAAACAATTACAACTTGACTATAGTTTCTATTTTCTAGTCGGTTTCTTACGTATCACTACAGTTTCATAGATTAACAGATTGTAAGAAATAACACTGCAGTTGTTGGTTTATTTTCTTCATTGACTGTCCTTTGAAAAAATGGAATTCATGCATCTTATCAATGTTGCATGTTGTTGTTGCAGTTGAATCAACAGATCACTTTCAAGATTACATGTGACTGACAACTACTGCTTAGGGTTATAAAAACATTCTAAAACTATACCTTTTTTGAATAATTGCAAACTGAATCGGTGGTAAAGCAAACGATGGTGAAAGCTTATGATGAAAATGTTTTCACTTTGCAACCAAATTTCATGCTTAATAAACATAGGTAAAGAGTGTTTCTCAGACTTAACCGGAAGTTGAATTTCGGAAATGAGCATTTGCATTCACTTTAGACCCTGTCACATGCTTCCTATTACACGCATTAACAGACTACGCTGTTAGTATCAATTTTCGATTGCATGTAGTATATTTGTATAAGGTTTTAATAGTTATCTATAATAAATGATATGTATGTTTTTGCGACTTTTAGTTACTAATATCTTTATACCTAACAGAAAGAAATTGAAATTAAAGATTGTAGACATTTCAAAATTAGAATGTAATCATGAATGTTTTCCAAATTTAGGAAAAATCGGTTACAATCAAGGTAAACGTATGAAAAATAATCCAAGAATCTCAGTGGAGATCCATTTGACTCCAATATGTAGTGAGCTATTCTCACAGCTTTAGTTAAGCTATAAAAGAAGTATGAAACCAAAATCTATGGTCTTCTACTAACTGTTTCCAATAATCTTGTTCATTTTCAAAGCATCAGCAAATTGAAAATCAGTTTGCTGTTTTTATGAATGTGTTTAAATCTTCATGGCTGACCATTGTCTAACGTATTTACAATTATCTCTAAACAAAGTTGCCTAGTACTATTTTAGATGTTTTAAATGATCTATATAGACTGTTATGACGTTTAAGACAAATTTCTCTTGTGAATGATATTTTATGTGATGTCACTATAGAGCTAATGATCTTTTGACATTAGTTCACTGTGTGAAATAAGCTCTAATCGAATTCAATCAAATTATATTTTTATAAATCAATAAATCAGTAACCAGTTCAAGTATTTGTTTGCTATTTTTGTCAATAGTATAATTTAATAAATTTTTCAATGTAATGATGATTTCACATACAACATATAACTCTTTGATGTTCAGAAAAAAGACATATACATTTCAGTATGATAACTTGAATAATTATTAATGCTCTGTTAAATGACAAATTTTCTTTGAATATTTTGATAGAAAGTTCAATTGATTAATACATTCCTATGATCTTTTGTAACTATATATCTGCTGATACGACATCTTCTTCCACATATTGTATTCATTTCCAACACTCTTAATTTGTTTTCAATCTCATTACTCCATCATAATGATGCATAACCATTTTTACTGTTGCGACTATATAAACTTTAGAATAATTTCGACCTTTTTTGATACTATGAGTTATAAGCAGCTAATGAAAACTTTACGAAATGGAATGAATTCATGTCATTTCGCTTAATTTTTTAGTTCTTACTCTCTTGAAGGTAATTTATCCTTTAGATTGTTACTGTTTACTAGTAGGATGGAGAACATAAATAACAAAGTTGCTGAGAAGAGGAATATAAGTTTGAGACAGTTGGACATTCTCCGCATCCAAATTTCCATATTTTATCTCATCCTTCAGTTTCTAATTGTAATTCTTATCTCTCTTCACAATGAATTCCAAAGCTGTTTCCTAAATGGAAATCCCATTTTCATGCCTTTCTTTCACCTCATTGTTGCTATGCTTATCGAAATTCCATTTTCCCAACTATTGTCATTTTTACTATTTTGGAAAACAAGTATATATTTGTAATTGCTGAGTTTTGAAAATGAATTCACAGGAAAGAGAACTTTTCGATGAATCCATCTTCTTATTTAGTAATGGGTTGATTGCGTCCACGTAGAAGAATTATTGAAAAAAGTTTCATTATCATAAGCAAACGACACAGATAATAAGTTTTTCATCAGTTTCCCATTTTGATCACATGAAAAGAAAAGTTTTAATAAAATTATTATTTTAGAATAATTATTATCCTCATGATTGTAATTGACATTCTTGATTCGTTTTACTTATTCAACACTAGTGCTTTCACAAAATCTATCTTAGACAGTGTTTCTTTTATTGACATGCAAGTATGATATTTTGTCATTGCATATATATATTAGACAGTTGGAATTAAATAATATGTAAACTCAGATTACGGTTTTACACTCAATTACACACAATCATGAAGCTAGATAATGTGGATTCGAATCAAACGTAAAACATGAATTCTCTTACGATTCAAATTGTACCGTCTAATTAAGAATACGGAATAAGGCTTAAGGGCTTTCCGTTAATCACTTCAAACGATAGCACTTGGCATATCCAGTCACTTAAACTAGTGGAAACACGAACTCGATCGACAAGATTTGATCATCAATGAAGACTAGACAAACAGACAGTTTTTTCATTATAGCGTTATGGAGGTTGTTTATGACTGACTACCGTTGGAAACCTGGAAGAACTTACAGCCATTTCATCCTGGTGTGGGACTCGTCAGCAGCGCGCATTCGAAGCCGGAGCCCTCGGTCTTGCCCACGAACGCCAAACCTCTCAAAACCACTATACAGGCATCCAGTGGTGTTATTGTCTAACTCTGGAGTCATGAATGCGCACAGCTGATGAGTCCCACACAAGGACGAAACGACCGCCCAGTGCTTCCAGTTTTATAATCGTGGTCTAACAATGATTCATTCATGACCTCAGTAATAAACAAGACACCAGTCACTTTTCAGTGATAACTGAGTAGATGCAAATTATTCTATAGATTTAAAGTAGTGAAACAGTTTAATAATCATACTTCAAGTTAGGGCTGAAGGATTATACTGAAACAAAATCTCTGGGATGAATATAGTATTTACATTGTTTCATTAGGGATTTGGAATTCAATAAACTACGCCGTGGTATAACATTCTTGACTAATCGATATTTTAAATAATGAGGAATTTATTCAAACTTGACAGCAGGTCTTAATCCTAATTTCAACTTGTTTAATTCAATAGTGATATACTTTGTCAGATATTTGTAGCAGGTTATAAATCCATTCAGTTTTGAAAGTTATGAGTAAACCTTATTTTTTAGATAACATATTCTAGTAAGAATTTTATTTCTTTCTCAGGCTTACAGAATTTGTAGTATTTTTCTCTATTTTGACTGAAACTATTGAAATTAATGGATTTTATCTAACAGTCATATTATTTAAGTTAATGAAGTTAATTGTGTACAACCATATGGAAATAATCTGATGAAATATATCAGAAATTTTAAGATCATGTCTGTAAGTATATTTTGTCTCTTAGCCCCATACATAAAGTGATGTAAACTATTTCAAACTAGTAAGAAATTAACGTGAAAGAATCATTGTTTGTGTATCAACAAAGTTTGAAAGTTCTAGTACCGATGTTAGAAAAATCGAAATTTTTAAAAGTATTTTTTTTAATTTTCGCATAATCGTCAACTGGGGCATTTTCTTTAAAACAGAAATTAATAACCTTAAATACCAAGTAACAGTTATGATATTTTAAAAGTTATTCAGAGGTTCAATGTTCAAGGTATTTTGTCTGTTTATATGACAAGCATATGTAACAGCTAAAGTTATGGTTTTAAAAAGTAGCATATAGTTTATTTATAATGTACAAAATATTCATGATGATCATACTAGTATTGTTCCCTTAAGTTGTTTATAACTACCAGGATTTATTAGGAGAATGACACAGGAATTTTCGTTGAGTCGCACGATTTCTGAAATTACTTTATTTCTCTTGGTACAACAGGCACTGTAAGCGTTATTTCAATAGACTAGCCTCATTTTTTTATTATCAGTAAAAATTCGTCTATTGATTGTTTTATGTTAATATAAATATATAGAACTATGAAGATGATTAATTTTATTTGTTCAGAGAAATTGCATGTTATAAATTCAATGAATTTTGTTCATTTGTCATCTTTTAAAATATCGAGATCGTCAACGGAATCAATAATTTACTATGACTTAAAGTAAAATATTAACTGTTGGTTTTTGAATATGCAGAACGAGTAAGTTTAAATTCATCAATGTTTTTTTTTGAACACAGCTTTTACGTAAATGATGTCAAACTATCGTCCATTGGTGAAATCGGAAAATGTTTTTCAATGATTAAAGCAAAAGATAAGCCTAACTGGCATTTGAGCAGCTTTTAAATATTACTTATTTCAATTATGGCTGTTAGGTAACTAACCGTGAAAGTAAAAGGAAGCCAAAATATTTACTTACTCAAATGAATCGTGCATTAAAAATATGAGAAAAACATACAATTGATGAACCACATTTTCGACACCGAATTGATCAGTTAATAGAAAACCATGAATTACTTTTACGAAGTAAACGATAAATACCAATAGTACTAATACTAATAGTTATTTAGCAGCTTGGTAAAACTCGTCATCAGAAAACACAATTTATCAATTGTAATGTTATCATTCAATTGTCTAAATTTACCACTTTGCAGACATTTTTGTACTAGACGTTAAACCTTGTTATGTATATATATATATATATATATATATATATATATATATGTATATATATATATATATATATATATATGATTTTTAGATTGCTGGAAGGCGTTATTGATAAATAAAGGAGATTTGATATAAATATGAAGACCTGGGTTGGGTAAAGTAAGAGGAGCAATTCTACAGTTGAAGAATATCTTTAACTCAAACTAGCTGCTGTCCAACACCAAATTGTGAAGACGGAGACAAGAGACTGACAAACAATGGAAGCTTATTTTGGAGATATTATTGTACCTAATTCAAAGCCTAATAAATACTAGCGTTTATTTTTGTCCCTATCTCACTATGTAACTCTTAAGCTTTCGATCGATGCGTGATTCATTGTACATACTGTGTTTTATTCCAAAACTATTATAATTTAGAAGTAACCGCCATACTCTATTTTTCTATCATATTTTTCTAAATGCTTGTGCGTGAAAAGTATTTATTAATTTCTGCGTCTATCTTTTTGTAAATGTAATCAAGAAAAAATAGAGCAGTGCTACGGTCGGTTAGTCTTCTTTCGCTCTCGCTTGCTAGCTAGAATAGTTTACGACTCTCTGACGAGGACGTTTAGTCATAACCGAATTCACGTGCTGTTAGTCCCAAGAATGATTTAATAGACTATTTCGTCAGGGCCTTTAAACCAAGTTGAGAAGAAATTATTTCATGTGTGTTAATGGCAGTAGATTGAAGGGCATGACAGTATAGAGTTTAAACTTGGAGAATTACCACAATTGTCATCAAAAAGGTACAGGTATTTATAAACAGTTGTCCCACAAGGAGTAGACATATTTTGGTGACAAGTGTCAACTGATGTGAAATCTTGGTCCGGCGTTTCCTGTTGGTAGCATTCAACCATAATTAAAGGATGAAGTGTGGTAAGAAACAAATATTCAGTCATTAAGATTTGTTGGTTCAAATTAAACGTTTTTAGATTGATACTAGTGATAATGTCACTAGTTAGTTTGTGATGACGTCAGTGTAAAGTAAAATTTAGGAATATCTGAAGATGTTTCTGGGGATTGTGAGGTAATATTAGCACGAAGTCTTTTTGCAAGTGATAATTTATAGGTAAATATTTGTTTCGATAAATATTTCATGAACACTTATAAAATCTAGTCTACTGATGTTGAGAATGAAAATTATGATTTATTCACTATTGGTAGCTTCACAGATTAAGCTTATCAAGAGAAAAATCACTTTAAAACCTGCAGCTAGCTCAGACCCTTTTACTGCAAAAGTTTTAATTTCTTGAACTTGCCTTGATCGAAATATTTAAACAGTCTAACAAACTGAACCGGATGCTTTAAATTGCAACTAATGTTTTTACTGTTTGTTTAAAACATAAAAACTGGATTTACTGTAAGTGAAGGAGCTCTGATTGATAAAGAGTAGCCTTAAAATACCTTTTTAAATATGAAAACTGTATGAATCTAGCACTGTTTACTAAAACGTATAACAGCCAAAGTTTAAAACAAATTTAACTTATCCGAGTTTAGGCTAGGCAATAGTAACAGAGTTTATTTGTTTCAAATATCAATCTTCAACTTCTTGCATACAGGATTAAATGTTGAAATATTTACTGGATTTCCCGTGTTGAAACATCAGCTATGCTATCTACATCGATATCAACTAGAAACTCTGTAGATTTACATTAGTTTTAATAATTTCAACATAGTCACACTAATTATTCGTTAAACATATAACTAACCTTTTTCTCATGAGATTGTATTGCATTCTTGATAGTGTTCAAAGGGTTTCCTCGATCATTCGGTTTTGAATCGATTGTACCACCTAATAAACAATGTAGTTCATCCGATGTACGACAGAGATCCACACAACTAATTGCAAAATCCATACATTTAACAGCTAATTCTGAATATTCCTCCTAAAATAAGGATGGTTTTCCAAATAATTATAAGATTTATGTTACACCACATAGAAATTATTATATAAAAGAATTATTTCTGCTACGTATTGCTGAATGATACTTAGAGAAAAAGAGGAATTACCAAAAAACGCTGAGATATAGTAATATAAAATAAGTGCGAAACCCCTAGAAATCCAGGAGCTTTTCTCATAAAGTTTTGGTAGACTGCTTACTTTTATGCCTAATTAATTTATAGCTTGGTGATGTAGTCTTCATTTTTTTCTCTGAATTCGCAGACTAACAGGTTTGGTTGCAAGGGCTAAGTAAACGGATGCTCCTCTCCATGCCTTTTTAGTGATGTACCCACTTCATCCTATATGACTAGAAAGAATTCTCGGATCTGGAGGAAATCTCTATCAAACTTACTATCATTTTGAACAATTTAATCTATTGGCCTTGTCCGAAAACGAACCGAAAATAGCTTACAGATGCTAGAAAAAATTTGTGCTAGTACCAACTGAACAACTCGTTCAAATGAAAGAGAGGAAATGAGTTTTTTTCGAAGATGAACATGAGCAAATACAAGAAGATAAATAGTGTTTGCTTATTGTAAATCTTATATTATAATTAAAAACAATAATAAATTAAAGAATACCAGGGTACATTCAAGGTTATACCTGGCTGTTTCTGTATTCATCAGACATGTTTTAACTTATAAATAGCCAAGGCTTCCATAAACCTCAAAATTCGTTCTTAAACATCTGTCAACAAATTTCGAGGTTTACGGAAGCCTTGGCTATTCATAAATTAAAATTTTCCTTAAATGTACAGAAACAGTTTGTTATAACCTTGAATTTACCTTGGTAATCTTTAAGCAATTTTATTGCCTAGGGTAATGTGATAATTTCCTACCCCTTCTTACTTTTTTCAATAATAACTTTTAAAAAATCATAACAATATGATTACCACGGTACACTTACTTTGAACTGTTTTTCCTGTGATGCTAATTGATAAAGTTCATTACGTAAAATAAATGCTGTGGATACTGGATCCGATGTAGTTAATGCCAAATAAGCTGAACTAGATAAAGCTTGATAAGTATGCAAGCGTTGTTGTTCCAATATCAATGAATCCTATATATACGTAGAGTGTTAAATAGAGTGTTAAATTAAACTACTGATAAAAATTTTGTAAAGTAATAACGTTTTGAATATAAATTATAAAAATATACACTTTTGTTTGATGATCATTTTTATTTTGATACAAGATTTTTAAATTAGAGTTATGGAAACCAAGCGAGTTCAACCCTTTGGGATTTAGTCAATAACTACCAAAGACAAATGGATGAGGTCACCGTTGGGTTCCGAGCCAGTGGTTCAGAGGTTAGGCGTTCACGCGCAAGACCGAGGGTCCTGGGTTCGAATCATGTGAGGTGCAGGAGTCGTGGATACACACTGCTGATCAGTCCCATACCAGGATGAAACGGCTGTCTTTCAATGCTTCCAGGTTTATAATGGTGGTTTAAAAATGATTGATTAACAATCTCACTATTCTATAAAAGATTTATTTACACATAGCAAAGAAGTTTACAAAACTTCCACATTGTTAGTAAATATTCAGGGGAATATGAAGATTCAAGTAGATTTGTAGCTATTTATTAATTATTAATTCTGGTTGGTGACAAGTTAGAACTTTAAGACTGACAGGAATTATTTAAATAATCTTAGAATTGCAAGTTCATCGATAAAAAAGCTTCTTGCACAACTCAAAAATTGATAGAAATGAGGAAATCTCAATATTCATTTCAAGGTTTGAAGTTCTAAAATGAATATAAATAATGAATGCTTCGAAGCTTCAGTTAATGCCATTATCTCAATGTATAACTGATCAAATTTAAGTTTTTATTTAGTAATTTAAAAGTTACGAGAGCATTTCTGTAAGTTTTAGGTTTAATTATAACAAATACTGGGTATTTTCTTCAACAGGACAGGGAAGAAACCATTTTCCTCTTGAAACTGAATAATAATTTTAATTCTACTCTTTGACTTGAAAAATGTTTGGTAAGGGAATAGCGCATATTTACGAACAGAATTAACAAATGGATAGTATGTTGATAAAGATTTAAAATCTAGTAATTTTCTACTCAATAAGGATATAATTATTCATTCTAATAATTTTACTACCTCTACTACTATGGGATTTGAATCGACAATAACAGCTCTATGCTTATGCGCTATGGAAACTTGAATTGATGTACTTCAGTACGAAGTTCTGCGTTGTAACTGACTGACTGTTAGTTGTTCATTTACTTTACTGATAGGAAATAAAATATCATTTCTTTTTCACTTAAAATATTAACTATCGATGAAATAGCAAAATACTTGTTACCATAAAGTTCTGTCTGTGTTAAAACAACTTTTTTTGATTTGAGCTAAAGACTTTTAGAAAATAATTAATGGATAGTTAGTTATCGACATTATCATTACCATAGAACGGAACGACTTGTGTTTTTTGTCTGTTGACCTTTTACTTATGAATCTTTGTTCAAATCAATGAATGTTTAATTTAACGCTTTGAAAATTCACTTTCAAACATAAATCATGTTCACTAAAATTTCCAGTAAAAGTTTAAACTTTTGCTTGCTGAATATTTTTATGTTTCATGGGACAATTATCATTAAATTTTTTTAGTAAATTAAGTCTCTTTCAGTCGATATCAATAACATACCATCTTTTTGTCAGTGATAAAATAGGCGTGAAGAAATTCAACATGCCTAAAGTTGACAAAATTCATTTTCATAACAGGGTTGTGAAGATTGTTAAGTTACACATTTAAAATCATGAATCGATTAAAGTTAGACTACCATTAGGAACCTGGAAGCACTGAAAGACGGCCGTTTCGTCCTGGTATGGGACTCATCAGCAGTGCGTATCCACGATAAATACCGGCTCAGTGCAAGACCGAGGGTCCTTGGTTCGGATCCTGCGAGGTGCAAGAGTCGTGGATGCACACTGCTGATGGGCCCCATACCAGGACGAAACGGCCATCCACGGCTCCCAGGTTTATAGTGGTATTCTAACTTTGATCGATTCATTATTTCGAAAATTCACTTTAGCAAGAACTTCTTTCTTGTAATTTAATAATATCATAATTACCACTTGATTGTGTGTCATATGTTCAATTACTGTTGGAAACTCTCCAGCAGGCACAGAATAATAATTCAACAAACTTCAATCTTTTATTCACTAATCTTGTGAACATACAAAATACAAGCAGTCATTTATTCTTTTTCTGCAAAACTATTTACAGTTAGTTTATCTCCCATTTTATTTGTTTCACCTCATAATACTTTGGATATCTGAATACTAATCTAACTGCTTTTCGCTTTTTTTTTCAAAGGACAGACCTAAAATTAAATAAAGATATTAACCAATTTGATGATGTTTTTGTCTAAATTTTGTTGTGACTAATTTTGAGACGGGTTGTAAACATTACATATAGGCACGTTTGTATATTCTATGAAAACATATAATTAAAATACCAGGTAAATTGATTAAATTTTACAGAAATTCATGTGGGCTTCCATTCATTGACATATTTTAGAAGTGAAGCGTTGATAGAGAAAACATCTTGTCTAATAAATCTGAGAATACTGAAATCTTTGTGTTCTGTCACTTATATTCTTTAACAGATTCTTGATTGATATGTTATATTATTTTGTGCTCGATTACACTATAAAATAATTCAACTGCTAGTCTTAAATTCTTAAAATAAAACTCATTTTTTTCTAAAATGGATTCTCCTGTATTTGGATTTTAGTTATGTTCTAATGATAATAAATTGATATTGTTAAGCTGATTTCAATTTCAAATTATTTCGTCCGTGTTTCCAGTTAATTTTAACTATGATACAAACTTATGTGAATGGCATACATAGACTATGTATGTACTTGGTGAATAGTTGTCAATTAAACTTACCGGCGCTTCATAATCATGCTACTATTTCCTGTTGTCTGCACTCAATAGTATTTGATGCCTAGTGACTGATAGATTATATTTATTTTATTGTATGCTAATTCATGTCACGCCTAATTAAGAATTTGAATCCGTTTTTTGAGTGTTCTGTTCAATCAAATACTCTAATTGTTTCATGTTTAATTGAAAAACTAGTAAGTTTATCGGATTAATGCATTTTAAATATTTATTAGTTAGCATAAGGTAGATAAATGAATTGATGGGTAATTGAATAATCTCGTTGTAATTCATCTTTTACAACAGTAACACAACTACATTCCGAAAATTAAAAACATTTTCAAAATGTAAAGCTATTTTCAGATAAGATTTATCTGTTAGAAATCTATTGTTGAAATCATTTCTTTTCTTACAATCAATCAACATTCTGTACCTCTTGAGTTAGTTAAGCTTTTAATTTCACAGCAACTTGTTAAATACTGTCGTATTTATAAAAAACTCATTGTGAACAAATTGTATCAATAAACTAGTAACTCAATCGATAATAAGCAGTTATCATTTTTATAGAAACAGTTAAAATATCAAAACTTGCTTGTCAACTTGAAAAAATATAGTTATTAGTAGGATTGGTATTGCGCATTTTAAAGTTTTTATGTGTTTAGAGACATTTGTCTTTAATTGACAGCTTTTATTCAGTTATGTACTTCATCCTTAAACGTTAGAGAATAAACGTTTGTGTTGTAAGAAGATAGAAAGATTTAAAAGCAACATGATTTAGGACTGATTGAAGCCAGACATGCAAACCCAATGGTCAAATGTCAACCGCTCTACCTATAGCCATTAGGTCATGGATGCGCAGTTCTAATGAGTCACACGCGAGAACGAAACAGCTATCCAGTGCTAAAATGGTTACCTAAGGTCTGTCAGTTCTTGGTTCATACTATAAACTTATTTAGGATTATTATTATGTATTCTGTTCAATGCCAGAATTTTTTAGGCCGATAAATTATCTTCTTGTTATTTTTACTCTGGTAAATTTAAATTATTCATTAAGTGATCACTGTATCTATCCGTCAGCACCTGTTTGTCTGTTACATTCTATAAATTGAGAAAAAAATTTAAAAGTCTGCATGAAATAATGATTACGGATATATGTAATGGGACTTTATTCTTATTAGACTAAATGAATATATTAATGTTAATGATAACTCAAGTAATTAATCAATTAGGTCTATACACTACTGATCAAGCGTAATCGTCTTCTATTTTGTTTTTGTCTAACTAATGAACACTAATAAATGGTAATTCTCGACACATCTATATGTTATCATTTCAATGATAACTCACTCATAAAGTGTAGAATACAATACAAGGGCATGATTTATAACTGTAAATCAAATGTCATACTTCTGCAATAATACATGGAAGTTTACGTTCATTATTAAAGGGAAATAAGCCCACAGTGAGATCATTTATTGTACTAAATATATATATATATATATATATATATATATATATATATATTTATATTTATATATAGTAAACTGTTATAGATGAACGTAATTTTATGTGATGTAAATACATCCTGACTGGTAATTCTGTGAATTGTCTATTTTTTTTTAAAAAAAAGAAAAGGTAGATCATTTAGGATAACACAATAATTATCATTGAGTTCTTCCTGAAAAAAAAAGCTTTTAATTCACTATGATGATTTCCTATATGCAAAAAATGAGAGATAATTAGTTGTTATATATAATTATTTATTACAAACTAAATACATCTATTTATTATTATTATTGTTAGATATTAATGAGTATATATCTATCTGTAGCACTTAAAATCATAACACTAGAAATCATCCTGTTTCAAAAAACTCAAAATCTAAAATAAATTTACCTAACTATTTTAAATTGATGATCATTGCTAATAAATAATTGTTCAAAGTTATTAAGCATTAATTTTACGTACATCAAAATGCAATAAATGTAATTAATATACTGAATGAAAAATTAAGTTGCACAACTAGCTATAATAGATTTATATTCTTTAAATGGATGATTACATTTTGTTGTGTAACTGTGTAAATTCAGTACTGAGTTTATAAACTTAGGTCCTGATAGTTAATTTTAGAAAAATTCATGGCTAATAAGCTCACTCTTCCT